TTTCCTTCTTTTAGTAACCTTCTCTTCAGTAGTATTCATCAATATTCATCACAGTATTCATCAGTCTTTCTTTGAACTCAGCTTAAGTTACTCCTCCTCCATTCACATGTCCCTGAATATTGCAGGTCTTGGCCTAGCTCCTGGTATTAACTCCTGTGGACCTCACCATACTTACTGCTGACCTGGCACTTTGGAGATGGGAGTCCATTTCATAATCATCATATTTATAAGTTCATTTTCCAGCTTATCTCAAGGGCTATGTCACCATCTTGAGCCTAATACACAGTGGGTTTAATAGCCCAGGGCTGCTGCTGTGTGCTAATGAGGCTGAAGCACCTAAGTGGCAATGGCAGGGCCAATGCTTGGTGGTCATGGAGAAGACAGAGAGAATACAAAGAGGACCCAGAAGATGACCCAGCAGGTCCTTTAAAGATAAAGGAAAGAAGCAATTAGCATCTGTCTTAGAGAAATAGGCTAAAAGTATCCAGATGGACTGAGGGAGCACAAAGTCTTTTTCCTCTTTGTCTTTGACTTGGGACAGTTTGACTATTATGCATCATGAAGAAGAACTCTTGGCTTTTTTTGTTTGGATATCTCTGATTTTCCTGTTTCTAGAAGTCTCAATCTCTTGCTAGTTGTGAGAAGTCTTCAGCTATTAGTTTGTTTAGTATATATATTTTTTAATCTCTTTTATCTCCTCTTGATCTCCTGAGATATCAAAAATTTGATCTTTGGCTACTTTATGGTTTCCCATATGTCACAAAAGCTTTGTTGATTCATTTTTCTTCTCTTTTCTTTTTCATTGGCTGACTGGGCTATTTCAAAAGATCTGGCTTCAAAACTAAAAATTTTTCTCATGCTTGCTCTATTATTGAAGCATCTCAATGCATTTTGGATTTCATTTGAGGAGTTCTGCAGTTCCACAATGTTACATGGTACTCTTTTATATCTATTCTTTTGATAAATTTTTCACACATATCCTAAATTGTTTCTGTAATACTGATTTCTTCATCTTGTTTTTCTGTATTTTCTTCTATTGCAATGAACTATTTTTTTTTTTTTTTTTTGAGACAGGGTCTCACTATGTCACCCTTGGTAGAGTACTGTGGTGTCACAGCTCATAGCAACTTCAAACTCTTGGGCTTAAGAAATTTTCTTGCCTCAGCCTCCCAAATAGCTGGGACTATAGGTGCCCGCCACAATGCCCAGCTATATCTCACTGACCTTTTTAATATCTTTACTTGGAATGTTTTTTCTTGATTTTATAATATTCTTTTTTATTGTTGTTAGAGAATTATCTTCCTTTGAAGATGTCATATTTCCTTGGTTTTTCATGTTTATGGGTCCTTCAGTTGATGTGTATATGTGTGGTACAGTAGTGACCTATTTCTAGTTTTTACACTGGCTTCCCTAAGGGAGGAGTTATTCCTAAGGATGCATCTATAATGATGGTTAGGTGCCTTTGATTCTGGGGGCATGCAATAGTATGGCCACCATATGATGTTTTTCATCTACAAACAGCATCAGTTTCTTCAGTGGCTTAGGGTACAGCTGTAAGTGGAGACTGTTAGTAATGACATTTTTCTAGGGACAGTGAAGCAAGGTAGGCCTGTCTGTTGGCCCCAGTTGTGGAAACAGCAGACAAAGTAAGCCTGTCATTGGGACCCAGGAAACACATGTGGGCACCAACATCAGCAGGTCCATTCAGGCAAATTTCTGGACTTTGAAGTGGCTTGTTCAGGAGCTGGTAGCGACAGTGGTAGACTGAGCAAGCAGCTGAGTTCTCAGTGCCCTCAGCAGTGGATATGTTGTGGATGATGATGGTGGTATCAGTAAGAGAAAAATACTCTGGCTCCCAAGTAGTCTATGTTTGTGTTCATAGTGGCTGTGGTGAGCTGGTAGTCTCAGAGGTGGCACATGTGGGTGGGTGCCAGCTGTGGTGGTAAGGGCAGGTTGGGTGGACTCAATCCCAGGGCTCCATGAGGAATATTCAGATGTGATGAGTAGCGGCCTGAGCTGGTTGGTCTCTAGGTCCCCAGACAGTGTGCTCAGGCTCTGGGGATGCAGAGCTGAGCCTGCAACATCCATTCTCAGATGCCCTTGTAATGCATGCTGGTTCTGACCTTTGTAGGCATGGGTAGGATGATTGTAGGCTCTCAGAAGAATGCTCAAATGTGGGTAGCAGTGGTTGTGCTACACCTGTCATATTCGGAAGCATGAGGTTGTTTTTGATAGAAGCAGCTTCAAGCAAATGGAGGGGAACCACACTTTGCTCACATTTTAACCCCAACAGTGGCATTGTACGGCTGTGGTGAATGCAGGCAAGAAAGTTTATTCTCAGGGTGGAGCCCTAGCTGCTGGAGATAGCAGGGTCATTACCAATTGCTCCCACTTCAGCCTTGGTGGCAGTAGCCAGCCTCATTGCTAGCTGTCAGTAGGTCATACCAGTTGCCAGGGGCTACTGGGCCTTTAAGAAAGATGGCCTAGTGGGAACTAGGCTCTCAAAATTGTGCCTGATCTACCTTCATAGGACCTGGGGCTGGGGTGTAGTATGAACTCCCTTCCTGGAACAATGTCTTGAAATAGTCACCAGGCAGCTCCCATTTTAGTCTCAGGGCTTATAAATTTCTAAGCAACTTCCCGTGGCTAAGATTGCAGAAGTCCACAGCAGGAATGTGGCCCAGTAGAGCACTCTATCTTATCCTTGCCCTGTATTGAGGAACTTGTCAAAGCCTTCCCACATGCCACTCACTTTGCTTGTTGTGGGTGTTTCTTGAAACTTCTTTGTGGAATTCCAGTGTTTTTTCTTAGAAGATCTCTTCACGGTGTGATTAATGAAGCACTATTTTTGTTCTTATTAGTGTACGAGCCAAGTACCAGATAAATCTATGCAGCTGTGTTAAAGCTCTTATACTTGCTTCTGATGCCTGTTTTTGAATATATCTTGACAATCTTTGTGAAGACACAAGAAACTGTAGTTAGAATGAACAAAATGTTCTAGCAATTCCAATACTGGATATTTAGCAAAAGATAACACAGCCAGTATGTCAAAGAAATAAACATACTTCATGGTTTTTGCAGCCCTATACACAATAGCTAACATATGGTGTCAATCAAAGCATGTATGGACAAAATGAATTCACAAGAGAAAAAGGAGCATATGAGGTCTCACAATTAAGTTCATGAATTTGGGCAGTGCCTGGCTCAAAAGGGTAGGGTGCTGGCCCCATATGCCAGAGGTGGGGGGTTCAAACCCAGCCCCAGCCAAAAAAAAGTTCATGAACTTGCCACAGTACACTTACTCTGGCAGCACTGTAAAAACAACTCAATAAGGTTTCATAACTTTGTCATATCAGTGTCTCATACCCATGTTCATGTTGACATATGGTGGTGTTTTGCTGAATACTGTTCATTATTGTTGTGTAGTTTGTGTGCCATCTTGAGTATACTGGAGCTTAAATTAGAGCAACAAATAAACATTTGCAATTTTCCTCTTTAACTTGACAAGAGTAGAAGTGAAGTCAGGGATGTCCAAGTGAAGTCCAAGTTGACGGGAATAATACCATGAAGAAAGTGGCACTGTACAAATGGATGAAATGTTTTCCTGAGAAGAGAGAAAGTCACACTGATGAAGAGGTCAGGATGCCCAATAATGAACAGAACTGATGAAAATATTGCAAAATGTCATTGAATTGTGCATAAAACCATTGGCTGGCTGTCAGAAGCATAGCAGACTAAGTAAACTTCAAGAGAGAAACAGGAAAATCTTAACTGAACAGAGGCAACATATGGCCTATTTTAGGGTAGGGAGTGGAGTTGGAGGGTAAACATTTGCTCATGGGGTAACAAAAATGGTTTAAAATTGATTATGGTAGTGGTTACACAGATCTGTGAATATTCTAAATGTCACTGAGTTGTTCACTTCAAAAGAGTGGCACATTTAATTCTACCTCACCAAAATCGTTTAATGGAAAAACACCACAATGAAAGAGGATATATTAAGTAGAGTGATTTAAATATAGAATACTGATGATTCTGTTCCCAAGGTCTCTGTCATGGCTCATCCTGAGGTAGAATGTTGGGTAGAGGTGAGGGTAAGTACTGGCTTCTCAAGGCTCAAGACAACTGCCTAGGAAAATCTTTCTGGGGTCTCCCCTAAGTGTCACTGGGAAACTTTCCACCATGGAACAGGCCCACAGAAGCCACAAGGGTCCTTGTTAGAGAAATCTACATGCAAACTCCTTGAAGGGACATGGTTAAGACCCCAGAGAAAATTTGAAAATAGGGTAGCTGAGAGTCCCAGCCGAAGATGGGAGGTGATTTCAAGCAGTAGGTACCAATTTCCAACATTTTAAGGGCATGAAATCTCATACAAGGAATTTAAGTTTGGAGCTTCTCCTGGAAGCTTGGGTCCTGCCTAGTTGTAATTATCTCCAGGTGGGTGGTGGCTGCCTCCCTCAGAATGACACCTCAATGTTTTCCCTTCACAGGTCTGGCAGGAACATCTGAGTTTCCCAATCCAGGTTCCCATGAGCCTGTCAGCCTCTGGGGCTGAGAGCTCCAGAGCAATCCCAGAACATACTTGTCAACCATTTCTTTATACTGTATGGTGAGAGCCAGAGGCTTCCTGAGGCCCAGGCACAGAAACAGCCCAATGTCTTTTCTCCTGGTACCAGGTTCTGAGACACTAACCTCCTATGTGATGAAGCTGGATACCCCAAACCATTTCGCCTCCTCAAAGGCCAGCATGGTGTGGAATGCACATTTCACCCGAGAGAGATGTCAGGGCTAGGGGAGCTGCAGACAGTGGAAGGAACAGCAAGTGTGTCTAAGGGACTTCCAGCCAGACAAGCAGCTCTGTGCAGCACCCCTCTGGAAGCACCCCCATTTCAGCCTAACATGCTGGGCTTCCCTTACCTGACATGTATGGTGGGAACCTCCACTCAAGTACCTGAGGCAGGTGATGATGGCTGGGCATTGCTCATGGACCCCATGTAGTCAGCACATTCAGGAAGTACTATTTGCAAGGAAATAACAAATCAAATGCACTGAATTCTCATTAAGCTCAGCTTTGAAAAATGCTAAACCAACATGAAGTATCACCAAGAACCAACTCTCCAAGGGGTCAGCCCAGAGCTCTGTTCCCAGCCTCACCTCAACAACCACAGTAGGGCTGGCTGTCATCCTTCATCCACAATGTACATGCTCCTGGAATCTCCCAGAGAATAGTGATCTACATCTGTTCAAACAAGACAAGAAGAAAAGCCAAAGATCTCTTTAGTCCTATTTCTCCAGAACTTCTCCCAGGCCTATCTGCTTCCCGATCTTAGAGATCATTCATGTCCCCCCTGGCCAATGGAAATAAGAGACCTGGAGACAAGGGACTTGACCCCATAGAGATTAGGGGTCATCTTCCTGCTCCATGGTAGACTGCTTTTGCCCTGAATCCATTCACTGAACATTCCCCATGTTTGCTGACCACATGCTCTGCATTCCCAGGGCCACACACATACTCGTAACTTGTCAGGTTAAGACTACCAGAAATGTTAAGAAACAAAATTACATGGGGCTGATGGATGGCAACTATGCTATGAAAAGGATGAGAGCCTTTTGCTTTGTAAAAATATCTAATTGTCAATTATAATTTCTAAGAGCAATGGCCCACAATATCCATTTCACACTACCCTTTCACTCCTGGCCCTTTTTTCTGCCCCTGACTACTGCACATGGATGCCACTCACCTCAGGGTTTTTCAGAACCTGCATGGTACCAAAGATTTTGACCTTGGAATTGATACAGTGCTTCCTAAAAGGGATTCCAACATGGTCAGCCTGGAGTCCTGGGCTGAAGGGCATTTTAACCCCGACTTGTTCTGTGAAGAAGTGGCTGCTGGGGAGGGAGGCAGTGATCAGCAGAGCTATCTTCATGCTCAGGTGCCTCAGCTGGTTGTCAGCCTCTGTGTGGTGATCAAATAGAGTTACTGGCCAATGGAGACAGGGAATTTCCTGCTTTGTCTCCTCTTTCCTCCTGTGTACAGAAATCATTCCTTTTTAGATTTGAGAACTCATATGCATCCTCCAGAGCAAAGGTGAGAATTCACTTTGTTCCTTAGGTGACCCAGACCCACAAGGATATGCTCTCTGTTATCAGTAAGCTGCCTCCGTATCTCAGAATCCTTTAGTCACCATACTCTGTCTTAGTGGTGTGCCCTCAAAATGAAGTGAGTCATGGCCAGCTCTGCATCTCAGGAAATAGTGAGCCTGGCCCAGAATAAGGGGGAATAAAAGGCAGGTGCCATAACATGACCTGAGCTACAGATTTACTTGAGAACTCATATGCATCCTCTAGAGCAGTGGTTCTCAACCTGTGGGTCATGACCCCTTTGGGGGTCGAATGACCCTTTCACAGGGGTCGCCTAAATACATCCTTTCTATCAGATATTTACATTATAATTCATAACAGTAGAAAAATCACATTTATGAGGTAGCAACAAAAATAATGTTATGGTTGGGGATCACCACAACATGAAGAACTGTATTAAAGGATCACAGCATTAGGAAGGTTGAGAACCACTGCTCCAGAGCAATAATGAGAATTCACTTTGTTCTTTAGGTGACCCAGGACCAGTGAGGACCTCCTCTCTGTAATTAGGATGATGCCTCAGTGTCTCAGAATCCCCTAGTTGTCTGAGACTCCTTTCCATGGTGTTCACACAAAAGGAAATGTTTTAGGGCCAGCTCTGCATCTCAAAAATCTGGCAGCCTGGCCCAGAATGAAGCAAAATAAAAGGCAGGTACCAAGACCTCACCTGAGCTACAGACTGAGACAGACCTGAGTCATGATGGCCTATGGCCCCAAGTACAGCAGGAGGCTCCATGAAGGCATACACTGTAACTGTTTTGCTTCCTGGCCTGGCCTCCCTGCCTGATCTGGACCTGGATGAGCACTGTAGAGCAGAGCCTTGGGACCACCACACACCACTGCATGCCTGGGTAGGGCACCTACCAGAGGTCAGCCTCCTTGCTGGCCCTTGGTTTCTCTTGGTCCAGAGGGATAACATTGCAGTCCTCTTCAGGCAGCATCAGGCATTATTAAGGTAGTAGGATTACCAACTGAGGGCCCATTATGTGCCAGGCCATAAACTCAGGAGCAGCACAGAATGTGTCCCCTGATGCATGTCCTTAACCCCCAATAGCAGTCCTCAGTGATGCTCAGCTTCACAGCACTGGTTTCCTCCTAGGCAGCAGTTACACTCTGGCCACGGAATGGCCCTTGACTATTTACTAATGACCCTTCTAGCCCACTTGCTCCATGCAGGCAGGCCGAGGGCTTTTTATCCCCACTGTGTGGAGAGGTAGCTGAGAGGGGAGCAGTCTCAACAACCACATTCAGAATGGCATGAACAGAAGAAGAGAATTCTGAGAAGGGATTCTTGACTTAAAATGCTACATCCTTTCTGCAAAGTATAGGTGATGCTGCAAATAGCCATGACCCAGCTCAGGAAAGGCAATCCCACTTGGCCTCCACTTTAAACCACATAGGCCAGTTCTCTGTGGTCAATACTCAGGCACTCCTCTTGATAGCTTCAGTTCATGTCTTAGATTTAAATCTTCTATCCATCTTGAGTCAGTTTTTGTTAAGTGATGAAAGGTTACGTGCAGTTTCGTTCTTTTACATATTCTTATCCAGTTCTAGCATCATTTATCAAGATTCTTTTCCCCAGTATATGCCTTTGTTTGGTTTATTAAAGTTCAGATGAAAATAAGAGAGTAGTTTCATCTCTTGGTTTTCTATTCAGTTCCATATACCGATATCTCTATTTTTGTGTCAATGTTATGCTATTTTGATCACTGTGGACTTTTAATATAAGTCTGGTAAAGTGATGCCTCCAACTTTGGTTTTAAGAATTGCCTTGGATATATGGGTTTTTTCTCCTTTCATACAAAATGAAGAACTATTTTTTCTAGTTACTCAACAAGGATGATGTTGGAAATATAATGGGGATTACATGAAAACTGCATATTCCTTTGGGTAGTAAAGACTTTTTAACACTTTCTTCCCAGCTTAACACATCGTATGTTCTTGCATTTGTTAATGTGTTCTGCTATTTCTTTTCTTAGCATTTCATAATTTTCTTGGTAGAGGTCCTTCATCTCTTTTTTAAGTATATTCCCAGGTATTTCATTTCCTTTGAAGCAACTGTGAATGGAATTTTGTCCTTCATTTGCTTCTCAACATGCCTGTTATTGGTATAGTAAAAGGACACTGATTCTTAGATATTTACTTTATGCCCTGAGAAATTACTGTATTTCTTGATCACTTCCAGGAGTCTTGTGGTTGTGTCTTTGAGTTTTCTAAATGTAATCACATAGTCATTAAAGAGCAAGTTTCTGACATCTTTTGCCTCCATTTGGATGCCCTTTATATCCTTCTTGTGCCTGATTGTATTGGCTAGTACTTCCAGCACTATGTTAAATAGTAGAGGCAATAAAGGACAGCCTTGTCTGGTTTCAGTTTTAAAGGAAAAAACTGTCAGTTGTACTCCATTCAGCATGATGGTTCCTGAGTGTTTGTCGTAGATTACTTTAATCAGTTTAAAAACTGTGCCATCTATGACTATTTTCATAAGTGTTATTGTTAGAATAGAATGCTGTATTTCATCAAATGCTTTTTCTGAATCTATTAAGAGGATCATATGGCCTTTATTTTTCCTTGTATTGATATGGGCAATTACATTAAACCAACCTTGTGTCCTTGAGATAAAGAATACTCAATGGTGATATATCATTTTTTAAAAATGTGTAGCTGCAATTTATTAGCTAAGATTTTCTTTCATATTTTTGCACTAATATTCATTAGTGAACTTGGTCTACAGTTCTCTAAACAGAATTGGTATGTTCTGTATATGACTATTAGCCCCCTGTGTTCTAGGGTTGCATCTAAGTCCCTTCTTTATTTTCTGTTTAGAGGATATGTCCAGCTCTGTAAGAGAAGTGTTAAAGTCTCCATTCTTAATGGTGTTGTAAATTATACTGTTTAGACCAATTAAGGTCCCTTTCATAAAATTGGGAGCATTTAAGTTGGGTCCATAAATATTTATAATTGAAATGTTCTCTCAATGTATTCTTCCCTTGACCAGTATCAAGTGACCATCTTTACATTTCTTAACTTTAGTTGCTTTAAATACATTTCTTAACTTTTAGTTGCTTTTTAACTTGTATCTGAGAATAAGATTGTGACCCCTCTTTTCTTCTGATTTCCATTTGCCTGAGATGTTCTTTTCTAACTTTTCATACTAAATCTTATTTTATACTTCAAAGTTAGGTGTGTTTCCTGAACATAGCATATAGATGGCTTGTCTTTTTATTATCTAATCAACCAGTCTGTGCCTCTTCAGTGGGTAATTCAAGTCATTAGCATTTATTAAGAAGTGATAAATACGATAAGGTTCTATTCATCCTATTTGGTAAAAATCTATTGCTTAGTATTACCTTTTGTGCCATTGTGGAATCTAAGTTTTGTGCTTCACTTTTTCTGTGTTTACCTTACTGGTAGTCTTTTGTGATAGTCAGTGTGGAGAATAGGTCCAAGTATTTCCTGTGGAAATAGTTTTGTGGCAAATTTTCACAATGTGTGCATATCAGTAAAAAATTTGATTTCTCTATCAATTTTGATTCTTAGTTTAGCATGGTATAGAATTCTGGGCTAAAAATTGTTTTCTTTTAGAAAGCTAATGAGAGGTAATCATGCTCTTCAAATTTTGAAGATTTCAGCTGAAAAGACTGCTTATCCCTGATGGATCTTCCCTGAAGGTAAATTGGTGCTTACTCCTAGCTCCTTGCAGAATTTTCTCTTTTCTCTACATTTTGGAAAGGTTCGTGACAATGTATCTTGGAGATTCTGTGTTTTCAGTGAGATGAATCCAAGTTTGATAGCCCTCTAAAAGGAGTGTTTCATAATCTTTAGTAATATTTGAGAAATTTTCATTTGTGATATCCTCCATCAGGGCTTCCATTCCTTTAGGACATTCTTCTTCCCCTTTCTGTTTGAATGCTTTGAGAAATCCCATAATGATCTGAGTGAATGATTTGTTTTCTCTCTCTTCCCTGTTACCATTTTAGCTGCCTGGGTCAGCTTGAGAGCATAATCCTCTATCTCTGAGATTTTTTCTTCTCCATGATCTAATATGTCATTGCTTCTTCCTACTGCATCATTAAATTCCTTGAATTATTCTTTCATTTCCTAAAATTCCAATATATCCTTTCTAATTTCTTCATGTCTTTCATTATTTGGCTCATTTTTTAAAAAAATATTTCATTTTCTACTTTTCATTCAATTCCCTTCATTATTTTGCCATCCATATTTTAAATTCCCTTTCTGTCGATTCCATAAATTCTTTATAGGTGAATACTCTACAGTAACTACCTGATGATAGCTTGAGGGGAGGGGGTTGATCTATTCTGATATTTCATGTTGCCAGAATTTTTCTGCTGGTTTCTACTTGTGTTTTCATCTTCTTCACTTCTTCCACTACTTTTTCCTTTCACTTCCTCCTTCTCTTTATGTTGCCTTTTCTCTGAGCTAAGATTTTGAA